CAGCAGAAACCATGACACCAAAAAATATAAGCCGCGCCACCCCGGACCCCGGGGAAGCGGCGAGCTGGGAGAGGACCACCACAACCAGCAGTTTTATTTAGCTGGATGATGATAGGTGGTCTAAACTCACTAACTCGTTACCGGAAACATATTGTACTGCCGTAAATGCAATTTCACATCATGCATGTTCGGAATACGTAGAGATTCGACGACAAGGGTTCCGTCTGCCTCTTCCGTACAGTACACGTCTTTCCATGCCTGCGTTGTGTACTTTCTATTTGTCAAATTATAGAGATATTGCCCATTTTTTTTGGTCGCGACATAAGCATGCCTACATGGGATTCCTTTTTCTGTTCCAAACGAGCAGTCGCAGGCCATGCCTGGATTCCTGTGTTTCAAACGATCGAAGACCACATGGGCATCACCGAAAGTTGCGTCTTTCACTGTCGCACCCACCACTTTACCATTCGCATACGTGAATGTCACATGCCTCTCTTGTATGTGTGCTGCTGCCATTTCCTCCTCCCTGATTAGCCTTGCTACTTTCGGTGGGAATGGCTGTTCCCATCCATGCGCTTCTTTGCTCCTGCGCTCGTGGTGCTCCTGGATTGATCGTGCCGCCTGCAATAGGCTGAATGCAAAATGGCATGAACGAAACGGCATATCCCTATGGTTTGCACTTTCCACACATGACGATGTCTTCAAACGACCTAGCTCTGCCCTTAAAGGGAATTGGTTTTCTGCAGACCATCCCTGTCCAAAAATCCGCTGCTTTGCTTGCGCATCATCATTGATGGCGTCTATCGCATGGTCCAAATCAGATGCCGTTGTTGCGTGATATGCTTTGGCGTACAGTTTCGCACATTTAGCGCCATGTGGCCCTCTTCCAAGGGCCTCTGACCTGTGCTTGAAATCAAGAAAATGAGTGACACCACCCAATTGGTATCCGTGGGCCGCGTCTCCTCCCTTGGAGGCATCAGATATGTCGACTGTCGGCGCGCCGAACTTGTCAACGAAGCTTTCGTAGCCCGGTATGGCCATTTTGGTACCATTGTTCAACAGGACCCATGTGTCCTTACTCTCATTTGATAGACACCTCGCATGACATATATCCACTATGCAATTGTTTTGATCCGCTGCGATTCTCGTCCCTAAAACGCCAGGGTGTTGGCAACCTGCCACTCTGTGACAATGGGCAAAATCACTAGCGGTGACCTTGAACAAATGTTGATCATAAGTCTCGGAAATTCCGGGTGGAGCGAGAGTCCAGCCCCAAACAATCTTGCTCTCTGGGTCGAGCTGAATCATCTCTGTTTCGTTGAAAGCCTTTGCTATGAAACCGTCGACTGGCTTCCCTCCACCTTCGGCTTGTTTCCGCGCATATTTTTGTCTTTCAGCCCAAGACGGTTTGCTCTGGCGTTTTAATTACAAGTTCGCAATGCCAACCCAATTGCTCGAACGCCGCCACAAGGCAGGGTAGTAAGTGCAGCATCTCCTCAGGTGGTGCACCTACTATCCATGCTACATAGTCCTGCTTGAACCTCCCTAACCACGAGTCACATAAAGTCCGGTTGACTTTCGGTTGCAGGTGCTCCCTTAGAACTGCTGACGAGAAAGTTTTTGTGTTTATCTGATGGCCGAGGTGTGCTACAACCTATGGAAGAAATGGTCATAAACTTTTTTGAAAAAAAGGGGGGGGCTATTCACTGGGAACAGGTCGATATTCTTGTACGCAATGGAGCCTTTCTGTTTCGTCCTCTTGAGATCGGTACGTCTGCATTGCTGGTCAGTGCATTGTGAGCACTTCCAATCCCGTGCTTTTGAGTCATACTTGAAAATGATGGAACAACATTGTGATTCACAACCATACTTTGTGATTCGCTTGGTCTCTTCATCATGCGCCACCTGCTCTCCTGCTGGGTCATTGTGCGGTGTCTCGTTTAGTCGGCGTTTTTCCTCTTTTGCTTGAAACTGTACATCAGTCAAATAGGGCCCTTGGCAGTAGCACCAGAAGTACATTACGTTGTCGCTTTTTTTACTGTGACAGAGTAGGCGCCGCTTCTCGAAGTGTCCTGCACCTTCAGATCCACCTCCATGCGGGCCATCGCGGTAGTACCTAAAACTACATCTTGTAGGTCTTTCAGATCCGCTGCTTTGATCCCAAGGGAGCTGAACTTTGCATCATCCTCAGCATTTATTGTTTTTTGCTGATGCTGATGTTTTTTGTTGCTCCTTTTCGCTGCAGCTTTTCGTTTACATTGCGCTTGCCTTGCATTCATAGCATCATCATCCTCATCATCCTCTTCCGCAGCATGATCACCATCTTCCGCGGGAGCAGCACCATCTTCCGCGGGAGCAGCACCATCATCCCCCTCGGAAGCCTCGGCATCATCATCCCCCTTGGAAGCCTCGGCATGCGCAGCCTCGGCATGCGCAGCCCGACACTCAGCCAACGCCGAATTGAAAGGAATTGTGAGATCAGCATGTGTGCTATTGGTGGTATACACCCCGGACAATTTGCTCGCGAACTTGAGGTAGACTTCAAGTGGGTGTAGGCCTAACGTCCTGAATATTTGATCGTAAGGACTTACTAACATCCTCCCTTGAATGTGATCATCATCCTCCTCAGCCGCCTCTGGAAATGTGGCACAAAACTGATTCCAAAACGCGTCCATGATGGCCCAAAAATCATAGGGCGGAACCGCTAGCTCCTCCTCCTCCTCCTCATCATCATGCTCTCCCTGATCCACGCTGCGCCAGTTCCGCTCCACCGTTTTATAAATGAACAATGATAATATGTTGGAAGCAAGTTTACGTATAGAAGTGACACGGGAAGTTCCGGTGCAGCTTTCTGGTCCGTCAGGAAGCTCTCTAATGGAAGCCCTCCCACAGCATAATGCTGCTTCTTTGAGTTTGCGGTGCGTGTGATCTTGAGAGCCATACAGTTTTAATCCAACCTGACTTCTCAGACAGAAAGGCAGCAATACTTCTGCACGCAAATAATACCTCGCGTATCTATGCTCATCANATCCACCAGACCACAAAACATGCAACAAATCTCTAGCTGATTGCCAAATATCCTTC